TTTTAAAAACACACCTGCACCAATTATACTGTTTCAGTTTCCATACAGTAATCCTCATAATTATTCAAGAGGTGAGTTAAATTAAATTAAATCCGTGGCGTAGCAGCTCCAGAGAGCCAAAGCCGAATAGCTTGACTGCTGGCCTCACGTTCACATGCCTAAGCAGAGGTGAACGATCATCCAACCAGATATAGGGTAACGTGTTGTCAGCATGACGAACCTCCAGCCATTGCTAGTTTTCCTGACCAGATTACGCTACTTATTGTAGCTCCCCAATTTCCTCACAATGCTGGGTTGGCACTGGTCCCATACACTGGTCGAAAGCTCATGAAAAAATTTCTTTCAACAGCAAATGAATGTCGATAAACATCGACGTAGATATATCAAGCGCTGTCTGTAATTATTGAACTTACCAATTACATAATAATAGCAACCAACAGCATACCAGGAGATGGCCATCTCAGGATACAGGTCTACCAGCCGGTGTGCGAGATAAAACAGTTCTGTAAAAATAATTCAGTGCTACTAGCTTCCAACACATCTCATGGTAAAGACAAAAATAAAGCGAAGTATGCAGAAGGCAAATCATTACAGAAAACAGAAAGTCATTGAGAAAGAGAAAAATAAATGCATTTGAGGGTACAACAATAAAAATGATTATCTACTAATTTGTATTATCTGCAAATTGCCATGTAAAAAATTGTCATTATCCCACCTCTACCTTGTAAAGTTTGTGTGGAGGAGTAAAACACAAAGTAAGGGATAAATAAATAAATAAAACAAGTCACCTCAGTTTTGATTAACTCTTTCAAGTCCTATGGTAACCCGCTTCAACAATCAGTAACTCTTCATATAATTCTCACTGTAACCGTGATTATAAGAGGTATGACATCGAGGGTAATGACAGATGCAGAACCAATAAGAATGCATGTGGAAAATATAGTCTTATATTTCTTAATTTGGCAACAGAAGATCACTCACTGTTAACTTTCTTGAGTTCCACAAGGCAGCTAATGTGGACAGGCAGACAGCCGCTGTGGTACGGATCCTTCTTTAGCACACTGCAACACAACACAAGCAAACACATCTGTAAAGAGAAGCCTTTGATTGCAGTAACAAAGAATAACAAAATTACAATCACCAAACACAATCAGTCCTCCAATATGTGTTCCTACAAATACTTCCATCTAATTATAAAATAAAAATTAATAACATAGTGAAACTTGAAGAAAAGATTGAAATGTTCTATCAAAGTAATTACAAATCCCAAAGTCAAATCATTTCATATGATACAAATTGTTCTAACTAATTAGATGGCTTACTAAAAACGAAAATTCATCACCGACCTAACCAAAGCCCTCCACCGGACCCTGTCCTGGGCCAGCAAAATCCAGTCACCTTCAACTCCTATCTCCCATAGATCCCACTTGACAACACCCTATTCTCAAATACCTGCAATCTATGTTCCTCCCTCAGAGTAAGAGACCATGTTTTGCACCCATACAAAACAACAGGCAAAATTACTGTTTTGTATATTTTAATCTTTGGGTTCTTAGATATTAGACAGGAAGACAAAATATTTTGAATTGAGAAGTAGCGAGCATTTCAGGATTATCATTTTGATTTGTTATTGTTGTTCCCAAATATTTGAACTTTGTCACACTTTCAAAGGATTTATTAGCCACTCTAATATGATTTTTGCCTGCCTGTCTGCTGGTGAGATACTAACATGTACTTAATTTTTTCTGAATTTACTTCTAGCCCCACCTTTCTACTAGCTTCTAGTAAAACGTCTGTGTTCCTCTTTATTGCATTTACATATCGTCACCCAATAAACCTGACAGTTCATCACCATGTTCACAACAGCCCACTAGCAGTTCCAGTTGTAAGCCAGATTAATCCAGTCCACATTCATCACATAATATAGTATACTCAAACACCCTCAGTTTCTGTTTTTTCATTATTGAAGATAAAAAAAACATCTCACTACACTTACTCCTCAGTGATGTGGCTACACTGCTGATAATTGCAGTTGTAGTAATGGCGTTCAGCCCGTGCAACGGCCAAGTCCAAATTTGGAGCAAGAGCAGGTGGGGGAGGTGGCAGTGACTCATTTGGGGCATGATACTTCTTCAGCTTGCTCTCATACAACAATCGCAGCAGCTGTTGTTCTGTGCCAACACACTGCTGTGACAAAGGCAGTGATTCCAACAGTTCCTGTTCTGCAAAATCAGAAAACCATTAGCATGTTGAAGATGGCCGTCTTCTGGGTTATTGTACCTTGTAGTCTGGTATAAGTTTACCAACATTTCAGAGCTGCTTCCCATCTCAATCATCAAGCCAACCTGTACGAGTTTTGAGGTCCTCAAAACGGGACGGTGTCAACGTTGGTCTTCTTGGTTACAACGCTACATTGACTTGTAGGTAGATAAAAAAATTCCAGAGGAGCATACTGCCTCCATCTTCCACTTTGAAGGTACAGACAGTATGTTTTTTTTGAAATGTCAGTATTTACCAACAAGTCCATATGGCATTATGACTCAAAAGATCAACATTAACAAAGTATGAATCAATCAAATAATCAAGGATTCTTTACACGTTGATCCCTTCCGAATAGTATCAAGAGTCTAGTAACTATTGTTCTCAGACAATGGAAACTTAATACAGGACATTTCATAATAAAATACCTACATCACACAGAACACAAGCTTCCACAGCTACTGATACAATTACCACAACATTTACTGTGCCAGCAAAAGATAGCACTCCACCACACATCACATTTACATTGGTAGCACTCCTGCTTTGAATTCAGAATGCCCTAGGTTTCATTCTTGGCTATGAGGTTGGTTATCTTAATTCATGTCTTTCATGATTTTATTCAGTCCATCCAGGCTAATTCTGGGATAGTACCTATTTACGTAGGCCCTAATCACTTCCTGCCACATCTTATGAATTGAACATTCACAGTTATTTTCATATTTTAAACTACATAATAAATGAGCCGGGATAGCTCAGTCAGTATAGTGACTAGCTACTGGCTGGACGACCGGGGTTCGATCCCCGACTGGGGAAGAGGATTTTTCCTCTAGCCTCTGCGTCCAGACCGGATCTGGGGCCCACCCAGCCTCCTCTACAATGGGTACCGGGGTCCTTTCCCAGGGGTAAAGCCGGCCGGGGCGTGATGCTGACCACTTTCCCCCCATATAGTGCCTAGGTCAAGAAAAAGATGAGCTATACCTCCGCTCACCTCAAGCGCAATAAATGACTTAACTCAATGTTACTTAGATTGGATATTGCATCAATCACCAATCTCGCAGCTGACAATAATCAGTCAATTTGTGTTACACGCTGCACCAATCTTTGATGATGGAAGAGAGGCAGACTCCAAAATGCCAGAGTTTTCTTGTGTATCAACACAGATGACTGCTGAGACAATGTCGTCGTGAAAGTTCTTATATGTTGCTGGTATTTTACCTTCCTGGGCAGACAGCATCTGATGTTGGACAAGTGCTTCAAATGCTTCATAACAATGTACATCGCAGCGCAACGCTTGCTTGTAGCAGTCTGCAGCAAGCCCTCTATTATCCATTGCTTCATACACTTGACCTTTCAGAAAAAGAATTGAGCTGGTCAGCTGGAACATTCATAAAAAGATTGTAATTGGATAATCTTATATCAACATTTTCTATAGCAAAGACATTCACAGAACATTACAAATCCAAATACTATACAAACTACAACCTCTGATATAACAAACTCAAAATACCTGCCCCTCAGATTCACTGTATTTTACCAAATTTACATACATATTATTACATTCCTTGGATCTGTAAATTAGTCAGATGATAACAGGATGTGGACTGTCATAAAAAATACAATACATATATACAAGAGCAATTCAAACTATTTTCACACAGAATAAATATTTCACATAAAGCAACAAACTGTTTCAAATCCACACATATATAACAAATAAATTATATTACCCATTTATGCCATATAAAGGCAATAAAACCTTTAAGAACACAATGAGTCATTTTCAAACACCAGAAATTCATCAACAGAGTAAACGAGTGTGTATTTAAGTACCTTTTTCAAGCTACTATAAACTCTGTCTTTTTATTCATAAGACTTGTAAGACTAAATGGTAGACTGGTGAAAATTTTGATGCCAGCATAGAATGCACATTTCTGAAAGCAAGAGAAACTGGAAATTGGTCTACGAAGCTGATACTAATTCCTCGTGTTAACACTGTGTACCGTGCCCGAAAATTTGTAAACAATTTATGAGAGGCTAAGTTGTAGAAAATAATTTTGTATTATATCAGTTATAAAACATTACTGCATAGTTTATAAATACAGAAATTCCATTAAAGTAGACATCCAAATGACATGACTTACATTCGTTGTAGTGTCATCAAAGCCCACTGGAACGGTGGATTCAAAACTGGTACACATGTTAGGAAACAAATTCCCTTTCTGCTCAACATCCGTCAGAACCTGTAGAGCCTCAGGTAACTCCCGTGCCTCAAGCAAACAGCGAACAGCCAGATAATGGCAGAGCATGTGTGTCTGGAAAAAAAAAAGGCATGGAAATCACTATAAACCACTTAAAAATTTTGCATTATAATTTTTTCAGGTGATCAGCCTGCTCAAAGTTGAGCTAAAAATAAATGTTTTGGTTACCTGTTCTCTCTCCAAAACATCGGTTTTCTGTTCAACTTTGATACAACTGATCACCTAAAGAAAATTATAATACATATATTTGATATAAAAGCTTTACATATTATATAATTTGACACCTAGACCAATTAATATTTCTCTGTGAAAGGCATTTTGTTACTTAGTGCTCAATTTCTTGGGCTCCAACAACCTATCTGTTCATCTTTCTACATTCAGACTTTTCTTAAATTTAGTATTAAAATCCATTCTCTCTAAATGGGGATCCAATGCATTACTTAATTTCTGTGGTCATTAGTAGCTGATAAATCTCAAGGATGTGGTACAGGAAGCAAATGCAGTCTCATAATTAACTTAGGTGACAAGGCAAGCATACTGCAGACAACCATGCGGGCTGAAGGCAGCAGAGTGCATTCACTTTTCATCATAGCCCAGATTTCGCACCGAGTTATTTTCATCTCCACTATGGGGCCAGCATTTTGGGTCAGATGAAGAAGAGAAGTCTGCTGTGAGAAAAATTTTTCATGTACAAAACTCAGTTTTTTATAGAACAGATTAAAAAAAATAGTTTATAATTAGCATAAGTGTACTGAAGTATGTGACTATGTAGAAAAATAAAGTATCATTTTGAAGTGTAAACTCTAAACTTTGTATATGTTTCTGTTTCACTGAAACATTCCTTCCCATTCATGTTTTATTTAAGAGGAGGCATTACTTTTCAGCCCACTCTCATACAGTTACAGCTGTATGTCATGCTCATTTGATTCGTAAGTGTATGTCAACAGTTTCTGATATAACCTCAATCTCCATTGTCTCTAATTCAATCATGGGGTCAACATAAAGATGAATATGGTTAACAGACAGTGAAACAGCTACATTATTAAATGTCAAAGATCTTGCTGATTCAGATAAATGTACTGTAATAAAGATGAGATTAAAATTATTGGTGAATAAGATGATAACTGACTGACAGAGCCAATGTCAGCACAGATACATATTTAGATGAAGACACGATAAATTATACTGGAAGAAAGGTAACATTCATGGCAGTTTGTGGATCTCAAGACACTGCACAGGATGTGATTGAAATTGTAGACATTTTAAACTATTTTTAGCAAGCAATAACATATGAGACTGTTGATATTATAATGCAACAAATGTCTAACAGAAAGGAACCTAACATAAAACTCTTACTGTTGTCTCTCTCTGCATGACAAGCAATCACTCACCAACAGTCTTATTTGATTCCAACAGTAGTCTCTTGATATAAGGAATCTTCCATAGCCTCAAAACACAACAGGACTCATGGGAATAAAATACCAGAAGCCTTCACAGATGTACAAATATTTACATAAAAGATGCAATTCGTTTGAATTAAAATTCTATATGAAAACGTTCATTATAAATTACTTCTAGGATTCTCGGTTTATAATAAATTAAAGAATTTCGTATGTATATATATGAACACACTATCTTGCTGACACATAAAAGTTGTTAATTCTTACCTTCTCCAGACCTCTGCTTCGAATTAAATGCGCAGCTCGGTGATACTGCTTCATGTGAAACATACACTGCGCTAACCAGTACACGTCTCGTGGTTCTCCATTACTTAACGACACTATTTTGTCTGCCCAGAATAACGCAGCGCTGTACAGGTGCTGCATGAAAAGGTTATTTTATAAATGGTAGCAAATACAACACCTATATTTGTTTTACGTTATAACATACTGTCATTAAAGACCTGTAATACTTACCAAATCAATATACGATTTAACAAGCCGGCGGTATTTCTCAACATTAATGCTTTGGTCAGACATTACTTTTTCTTCACAAACTCCCTCCATGTTCAAAATATCCGTCCAGAACAACCAACATTCCAGGGTTGCAATTAAATTCCCCACAACTAGGGTATATTCACGTTCACGACAGATTCATCTGCATATACATAATTTTGCGTAATAAAACTGGTTTTCGTAGGGATTTAATTTCGTGCTAGAAACAAGACACGAAACTTGCTTAGGATTCTGACCTGCTGTCGCACGTCGTCTATGTACCAGCTGGTTTCGGGGTCAGAATTTTTCTGGGTACTTGTGGGATATCGGGACATCGCTTTAAAAGTAAGTTAGGTTAATGTGTGTGGATAAATGACATATACTTGAAAGTTATTATATTTTATTTCAATAAATGACAAATTATTATATTTTATTTGGATATGCATGAGATGTTAATTGTTGTTACAACCTGTCGCCGGAGGCCAAAATTCGCTTATAGATTTTAGAATCGTTTTAAAAATATCGCCGTTATCATTTGTACGCCGCCACATGAACCAGGTATACTGATACGCATGCGCAGTTTTAAGTCTAATCTAAGTCGATATTCGACACTCCCGTTTTGTGTCCGATAACCAACAAGTACATTTTTTCTGTTATGCAAATGTTTATACATCACAGACCTCTGATTCATGTGCCATAACTGTTTACTTGCAAGTAATTTAAAAAGCGGGGTGAAATACACTTGATGTATATGCAGCCAAGAATGAATGTTTTCATGCAGTCTGTTACAGTATTCTGATTTTAACAAAAATTTGAATATGGTAACATTTTATAAAAATTTCCCAATAGCATATTTAGTAAAATACATTCAGCAGTTCTCAAGTTTTATTTGTAGGCAGAGATATTGTAAATTTAATAGACCCATTTTTGAAGCTTTCATTTAAAATGCACCAAAAGAACAAACTTTTAACACTCAAAACTATTTACTCACAAATGTAAACTCATTTCTAGCACTGAATCTATGGGGAAAAGATTATTGAATTTAAATATTTTCACATTAGCAGAATAGTCAAGGATTGCCTTTACCTCTGCTATATGAAAATATAGAAATTGTATGTTATATATGAAATTACATAATTCTACTTATGCATTTTGAAAATATTACTTGGGTTCTTGTTTTATTAATGTTTCACACATAATGACAAGTTTTGGAGCAAGTGCACTTACTGCGTGACTGAACAAAATTGTTTCTTTCTTTGTCAGGAATGTAATTGTTGTTAACAATGTAACTATATTTCTTAAGAAGAGTTAAAAATCAGTTGTATTCTAACTCTGGTACACAGTAATGTATAATAATATATTTGGAGAACATGCTGCCTCCCTGCCAACTTAAACTCTAAAGATGAAGACAGAATGTTTTGTCAAAATACTGGTATAATACAAGAATACATGCTGCAACAACGCAGAAGACAACCTAATCTCACATCAATGTGAAAAACTAAAATCACTGACCTTATAGAATTTTTTGTGTTCCAATTTTAATGACAAAAAAATATGCTATACGAAGTTATATAATTATATGACTTTTAACTCTGAGCATAGTCATCCTCAAGAATCTGATACTTTATATGGTAAAAAAAAAAAGCCAACCCTTTTATAGAATCTGAACGTTCATGACTTGTTAATGAGAGACCTTAATGCGTGTCATTCCCATTTCAGTACAATGAAATGCCACTTTTATGAACAATATTTTCAGGCCAGTGAGATTTGCTTTTAATGACAGTTCATTGTATCATTCCATATAGCATTCCAAAACCCCTCTCAGTATACAATAAAATAAAAACAAAATGCTAACATACTCATATTACATTGTACTATTCCGATTGAAGTTTCAGGCTGCTGCAAATTCATGTATTTATTTCTTTGCAGTTTATTTAACAATGCTGTCAGTAGCTTAGACTATATAGTATTGACCAATGCTGTTTTGCAGAACATATATGATGGCATGAACATCTTCCAAGATACTTATCTTTTAAAAAGAAACCTTTAGTTGTCTTGTCCTCTGCACTAAACATACCTCTCTGCCTCATCTCTCAATTATGGCACATATTTATGGAGTGTTCAGTTTCTGATAATAAAGCACCAAGTGAAAATTACAATTTCATGTCATCACACTTTTTTAAAATACACTGAAGTAAAACAGCAACAGTAGTCAATGCATTTATAATGCTGAGAGTTCTAGAAAAAAACAATAATTTGCTAGACACCTAACAAAATTCATTTGCCATATCTCACAGTATGCGTCATACATACTTTCTGCTACTGTGTTGACTTCCTTCAACGATGGTGATAAGCAACACTTTCCACATTTTTGTTTACATCCACAGGATATGCCGCAACATGGTGGATTTACCCAGCACAACTTTGAGCTATGTGAAAGGAAATGACAATACAAAATCATCCACTGATTACAGTCTTGACACACCAGAACTTGACATTGGTCTCTGCTAACTTGCCTCTTGTGTTAGAAAGCTATTTCTGGAGTCCCAAAACTGCCAATACTGAAAATATTCATGTAGTTAATAAGTAACATTTGACACCATATTCTACACAGAATAAAACTGAACTAAGAAGCATGAAGTGCCCATAAACTGCATAATGAGGAGCTGCATGACTTGTAATTCTCCAAATATTATTAGGATGTATTACATGCACCATAATTTTTAGAAAGATTTTTTTTTTTTTGGGGGGGGGGGGGGGATGTTATACATGAGTAAATATGGTATAAACTTTACATGAGGGACTTTGCTCCATGAATCTAGTTACAGAAAATAGAAATACTGAATAATCTATGCAATCACTCACTCATATATATATATATACACACACACACACCAATGTTTATTAAGTCTCATAAATCGTCTAGCCAGTTGAACAAAACCACACACTGCATGTTATTACATGTAAATCTTTGAGTCTGGATGGACATAAACATATGGGAATTATATCTTCATTAGGTTCTGTCCAGTCATTTAATTTAAAGAATTGAAGGCTAGAATTATAATTATATGACTTAAAAACAGAAAATAGATGCCAAAAAATGTTTGAAGAAACAACAGATAAAGGGCGATGTTAGAGCAAAAATATAATCTTAACAACACAATTATGTTCTATTATACAAGTCACCTGCATTACTACCAGTAATTCTGTAGCAACTGGTAGACTACTGACCTACCCAAGAGTGAATGTTCTGCAGCTAATCATCATGGAATCAGCAATGATGTACCTTCTGAAAAGAGCAACTTCTTGAGAATCCTATTTTAAAAAATTGGTATTAATATAGAACATTATGTGAATCAACAGCAAGATCTTGAGACAACATTTAAAGCAATGATATTATAAAAAAATAAATATAAAATGTATGTTACACATTACAATAAAACAGACTAACTTATCATATATGGTATCTTTGGAGCCTTGTATGAACAGCTGAAATACCAAAATATCAATTGTTTGATTTAAACCCATCTTATTAAGCAGCAAAGATGATAATAATACAAGCAGACATCAATTATGGGACAAGTCTGCTTGGTTTATTAAGAATTTAAAAGTATTTATATACAGTGAAATATCATTTTAATGAATGTCAAAGTAACAGCACATTCAGTAAAATGAAATTCTTTTCTGGACCCCACAAATTTATCATATATCTTTATGTAAAAATGTTTCACTTTAACGGATACCATTGTAACGAAATTTGTAAAAATAAAATCTTTAAACACGACAACAAACACTTTACAAAATCTGCTGCAACATATGTGAGACAGAGACAAAGGGGGAAAGAAAAAGGAATTACAAAGGATCATAAAGGGATGCTCATTTCAGAGAACTACAAGAATGTACATAATGGTCACAGCCTCAGTGTTTTGTCGGATAAACCCCATTAATAAAACCCTACGATAAAAACCCATCCCCCATCTTAACTGCAACCAGAGAGCACCATCCACACAATGCATTCCACCCTGTCATTTAAAGATTATTTACATTGGTTATTGGTTGATTGCATGTCTTCAGCCACACGACCAAAATTGGAAATTGAAACCATGTTTTGATGTGATCAATTGGCAAGCATTGTGATTTGACTGACCTAGAAAAGGTGTGTTTACACTTGTCAATCTGAATTGAACAGCAATCAGAAAGTGTTTCTATTCAAGTGAAGTAGAAAGACGCTCCTTTTGCACAATTTAATCACAGCCACACAACTGAATCGACTGTGTAAACATCCGCATTCTCAACTCTTTACGTTATCATACAGTTTATTTGTGTGTTTAGTTGTTAATTATAGAAATGGGTAAAGATCATCTGCATTGAAAAGAATATCACAGCAAATGAACTTCACAGTGACAGGAAATGATTTTAAAAAATAGAAACTGACTATACATAACAGCATTTGCCAGGTCATTCACAATTTCTGTTGAATAGAATCAAAATGACAAGTGACAATGCAAACATTTTTAGCTATGGATTCAGATTCATAATTTTGTCATCCACACTACTTCATTAAACTGACATTTCACTGTATGTCCTACAGATTTATCCCTTAAACAGAATAATGTTCAGATACTGATTACGTAAAGGAATAATAAATGATAATATACATCCTGTCTCTGGTTATTCTGCTTGCATGTAATTCTTGTTCCTGCATTTACATTAATATTTTCTTTCTTCATTCATGTCACACCAAAGACATGTCCTGTTAATAAATATGGATTATAAGCCAAGAGTTCAATCTATGGTGAGAGAGTCTCAGATTCACATTTGTATATTCACAGATCTTAAAATCATTCAAATGCTACTTTCTTAATTTAGTTTGCCATGGCTTCAAAATTAATTACCAACATTTCTGGTGTGTTTTGTATTACACACATTATGAAATGTGCTAGTAGAGTATAGACACTCATCACACCATTCAAACAAGACATGTTAAAATGCTCCCAGCAGATTTAAAAAGTTCAAAGACATAAGAAACCAACAAACTTGTTCCATAACAAAAACACATTTAAAGAAATACAGAAATTTCTGCTCAAAGCGGCCTCATTAGGAACAGAAAATACCATGTGACAACCTAAAACTTCTATTGTGGTGTTCCTGAAGGTTCTGTTGGATCATGTTTAAGTTCGATGTCTGGATTCTGTGCCTGAACTTCTTTTTTGGCCTTAATTCCCTCCTCTTGAACAGCAACATCATGGATCACTTGGAGGTCACTGTAAAGTGGACATCTGCAATGGGAATAAAGTACATTAAGTGTTAGGTTTAACACTTCACAAGGCATCATCATTTACACACTCACTTATTTCTGTCAATATCTCCATTAAATGGCTGTAAAATATACTGAACTTTCAGACAGAACAGGCACATAAAGCTGTCCCTGTGTGTAAGAATGCTGTGAAGATGTATGGGGCAATGGAAGAACATCTACAAATGTTCTTAACCTAGGCACGATGTGTTGGTTAAGTCGTGAACTTGACATTCCAGATGTTGTGCCTACAAACAATTTAAGTATTTTTCACAAGAAAAGTACAGGCTATCCATGTATCTATCAAAAATGTTGAAAGGATACAGGGTCTTTATCCACAGCCCATGTAAGTCAACACGAGCTGCAGCACGTGAGTCGCAAATGCTGCATATGACAGCGCATCAGGTGTTTCGAAAATGTTTCTGTCTGTATGCTTACAAGTTGCAAGTCATGCAAGCAATTATGTCAGATAGTGTAGCCCATATAGAATTTGTAGTGACCAAGCTTGAGAAACTGGTCGAAGACGAGTTCCTGAGAAAAATCATGTTTTCTGACAAGGGTACATTCCATGTTTCACGGAAGGTAGATAAACAGAACATATGCATCTGGGGATTGGAACACCCTCATGCTATAGTAGATCACATTAGAGACAGCTCTCAAAGATAATGTGTGGTGTGACCTGTTGCACGATTGTTTGATCAGACCATTTTTCTTTGCCAAAGTGACTGTGACATCCAGCAGTTACCTGGACATGCAGGGAAACTTTGTCTACCAACAGTTAAAAGAACTGCAGCTTGCCATGTTCTTCCAGCAAGACAGCACACCACCACACTCAAGCTTGATTGTGCATGTATCTCTTAATCAGCATTTTACAAACTGACGGACTGACCACGTTTGTCCCATCTCTCGGGTCGGCCAGATCACTGGATATCACACACTGATTTTTTCCTATGGGGATATGAAAAAGACTGTGTACCAAACTCTGGTGGCCATTATCAACAATTTGAAGGACAGAATTGCAGCTGCTATTGCAACAATTGATGCTGACATGCTGTAGCATACATGGATGGAACTTAAATAACGTTTGGACATTCTACATGTGACAAATGATGCCCGTGTTGAATGTGTGTAATGTTCAGCAGATGACACTCAGATAGTGTGTCTATGTATTTTCATAAAGGTTTTATTAATGAGCAAATTTGTTAAGATAATTTATATACACCTGCATCAGTGAAAGTAGAAAATCAGGAGGTAAAAAATAATAATTTATTCTTTGTCAAAATTTTTTGCAGGTAATAAAATTTGTTGCAAAAGGCTTATATGAAACAAACACGAAATAGCATGGGCCTATGTCTAAAAAAGTAAAATGCCGAGGGGTAAAAGGATTCCGTGTCTGGTTTAAATTCATTATGGTGTGACTTCAAGACACAGTAATATGAATACTGTAAATTTTAGTTCAACATCAGATTGGGAAAGTATTGCTTGTAAACAAAAACAAGGTAATTCATAATAAAAGTAACACAATAATTTTGAAACTTATGAGTTTTTCCATCATCCATGCATCCCACCAGCCATCTGGTGACATAAATACAAACCAGTGGAATTACCCACTGGCATATGAATAAGGGAAGGACATTGAAAACAGAATCTAGTAACATTTTAATGATATAATGAACAATGTTACCCATTGAACTACATCACCTACCTTCTTAGAACAAATAGAGATTGAGAAGACTAATTAACTCTTGTTATTCTTGTTCATTATGAGAAATGTTTATAACTGACAGTACTTCTCCTGTGCATCATGCAGCAGGTTTTTCAAACTGAGTAATAGAAAATGGTGGATGGTAGGTTCCCATTTAAATCTTCATTAACAGTGAATATTTTACAAGTAAACATCCAGGTTAAAAGATTGCAGCACATTACTTACTTGTGGAATTCAGTACCGCCATCTCCATTAAAGTGTGAATAGTCAGTTACAGGCAAGCGACAGATGTAGCACATAAAAGCACCACAAGTGCAAGTCATTTTGTTGCAGCCAACTTCCTTGATGAACTTCTTCTTACATTTCCAGCATGTCCTGCAACAAAACAGATGCAAGAACTGGGGCCCAAAATAGTCATTTTCACAATCTAAATAGTTACTACTTATGAATTAGTTTTGGCTAAACTTTTGGACATTATCCATCGTCTGCTCTTTCTCATAACATGACTTTTCAGGGACTGTATCTGTCTGCATCATCACGTAAAATAAGAGTGACAAGGGGTCCCTTAGAAACAGCAGTCTCCATCAATGGACACCTACTGAAGTTCAAGCCAGGTGTGGGAGATGTAAACACTTAAAACCTGAATAAAAATTCCAAAAGATACATAGAAGCACGAAACAAAACTGCCCTGTTGGTCCTAATTAAAATCCACCAAACCAAACCAAAGAAACCCTAAGCTGGCAAAGTTCCAGCTGCAATTATGGCTGAATATCCCCGTTGCCTGTAACATCCTCTCTTTGTCAAATGTGGACTGATGACTGGTGATGGAATATTCTGTAATTGCCCTAAAACTGGGGCATCAAGTTCGGCCTAACTGCCCTATGATTTGTTGATGACGGGGAACCACAGAGGTGGAATTTCCAGGCTAGGATAACTTATTGTTCAGTTTCACATGCCATATGGGTTGCTTCTTTGTACAAGTAGGCCCCGATTTATGCCGGGGTTACGTTCCACCTCCTCAGGGTTGTTAGCCGAAGCGGCGTAGATCGAGGAAGAATAATAATGTGTTGTACTGGCAGATGAGGAGAAAGCAATTGACGCTGACACTAGCGCCACCTACGTACCCACATCCTGTGCTGCGTTTTCAAATTTTCTTCTTATATTTGTTTTATTTTTTCATTATTATTTTAAAAGGGCGTTAATGTGAAACAGCGTAAAATAAAGCGTCGTAAAGCGGGGCCAACCTGTATTTTATCCAAATGTAATTGGACTCTGGTTTTAGAATCTTGGCTTCTTTCCAATTAATCTGATGTCCTCTTCATAGGCACGTTGCACTAGCTTGGGTTTTTCTACCAGCCTCTCCTTGAGATTATGTTAATGTTATCTAAAGTATACTCTCAGTGGTCTGCCTGTTTCTCCAATTTCTGCTGCAGTCACATCATACACTATAAACACAGCATCTGGTATCTAGTAGATCTCTTTCAGGTCTGGTTTTTACAAGCGTGTATCTCAGAGTGTCGCTGGTCTTGAATAAGGTCCTTATTTCATATTTACTGTCAATACATCTGAACTTTTTGGACACTCCCTTTTCGTATGGAATGACCATGCTGAGCGGAGTTGTATCTGTATCTGGCTGATTTTTTACCACAAGTTTGTTAATGATGGAATCAACAAAAAGATACCTGTTGAGTGCCAAATGTTATCAACCTCATTGATAAATGCTTTGCATTCTTGGCAAATTCACCAAACTGTAGATAACTCCCTCATTACATGGGGTAGGTGGTTGGATTCAAAGTGGAGATAGTGTCCAGTATGTGAGGGTTTTCTGTAGACCTGAGTTATTGTAGCCCCCTTTTTGGTGACTAATACATCTGGAAAAGGCAGGCTTTATGGAATGGAAAATCACAGACAATAAATTAAACAATCCTCTGTATGTGTATGAGCAATCCGAATGGTTTCATTTTGAAGTAACCATTTTTCATGTTTGCCAAAATAATGTAGTTCATTATTGGTTTGCTCAAGTTACTTACCTCACCAAAGCATCTGTCATCCTGTTCTCAATAAAAGTCCGCATCTTCACTTCCTTTGACTCGACTTCATCACAGTGCAGAGGAATGTGACTGGGCCTCTTGCACTCCCTGCAACAAGCAGACATTCAGACTTCGGACAAATGCAGGTATCTATAAAAGATGGTATAAAAAATTACTGCAATTTCTCAGATTTAAACTTTCTTTTACTTTCCCATCATAATCTTTTAACACAATGATACTGTGAATCCTATGCTATCTTTGTTTATAAGCACCATATACTTTGTTATTTTCAAACTGTTCTATTGTTTTCATACAGTAACAAAATTTTTATAAAATGAAGATTGCAGTCTTCTGGGTTATTGTGCCATGTAGTCTGGTAATCACCCTGATGACGGAGGCAGTATGACCTCTGAAACGTTGGTGGAAATCTACCAGACTACACGGCGCAATAACCCAGAAGACAGCAATCTTCAGACTCACCACTGTGAAAACCTCAAATCCTACACTACAATTATCATCATCTAGTCTAGTCTCAGTAGCATCACCAACATGATCATCAGGACCACTATTAATAGGTCTGTTTTTGTAGCCTAATGGCACAAATTTCATCTTCTGAATTGTCTCAAACCACATGAGATTGACCAGGATCTGGTACCCTTTTTTTCTGTTCAGATTATCTTCTCAATGCTACCACTGTTTTCAAGTTTATTATCATCTGCCTCATTTAACTTGTTATAAAATTCACCCATATCATCACTGTCTTCACATCTTTCCATTTAATTTTCTTCTCTAATTATATCCTCATTTTTCATTATTTTAGTCGTTATAATGTTACAGTTAAAATACAAGAAAAATGTCAGACTGCTAGCTAATAATATAAACTAATAACTAATACTGACATGCAGCTGTTTCGTTTCAAGATGATTTCCATTTAGACACTGAAATTATCTCAGTTGACAAGTGTAAGTTCAACATTATCAAGGTTCATACAGTTCATATGGCCACTAACACATGCCAGAAGTCTTTGTACAGGGAAAAGAATATCATAATGATATTGAATGTCGAGCTGAACGTGTTGTTAGACCTGGTGGAATGAAATGCGTTGTCACGTCCACCTTCATGTTGGACTGTAAAGGGCCAATGCTTTCTTCAACTTCATAATTTATAATGCTGAATGACAGGATGATTTTGAATGTTAAATTGGAAACAATGAAGAAGGAAATGGTCATGACCTATTTTAACCTCTGCGCGCGGACGAACGTGAAAATTCGTGAGGCATAAATACCCCCTAGTGGATATCGGTGCAGTGTACGTCGGCTACAAGCTTAATTTTTGTAGCCCATAACTTTTTAACGAATAACGCCAGCGGAATGCGGTTTGCACTGCTTTGTTCTGAAAAGATAACTGTATGTGGACATATGGCAACACCGCCACATTCCATTGAGTTCTACCTGGGAATCTAAAAAT